AGGGCCTCCACAAACGCTGCTTTCGGGGTCAGTTAATAGGTGGGCGTCGATAGCAACCTATGAATTGGAGTCGATTGGATTGGCAGTTGGGACTCCGTTGGGATCAGCAGGGGGCACCTCATTGCTAGGCACTAAGTTGTTATTTTCGCCGTGATGGCCAGACACAGCCTCAACGTTCAAGTGAGAAGACTGAGAATTTGACATTTTTAAGCTGATCTAAAACTGAAACCTTAAAGAACAAGAGTAAAGAGGGAGTGTGTTATAGAAATTTGTATCAAACCACCACTATTATCCTTAGCCCCACAGTGGGTGCCAAACTGTTTACCCTTAAAATGGATAACAATTGAATTTATACGCGATTTTAAAGATGTGGATTGATTCAACACAAATAATCAAGAACGTTAGATAAATGAGTTGAAGACACAATGAATAATCAAACCAGTCGTAACGTTATGGCCTAGCTTGAACTTGAATTGGGCAATAGTTTCTGCCCTCGGTTGGGTCTTGGGTTCGAAGCCAATCGAGAACAAAGAACAAAAGTAAAGTAAAGATTTTTTAGTAGCTGGAAAGAAGAGAAATAATTTTGTATTGCCTTGGTATGCGTGTTACAATGTGTCCATTGAATAAAAAGCCTCCCCTTTATATAGTAGGAGAGTTTTATCCCTAGTACAATTCTAAAAAAGGTAAAAATCCTCCTTTCTAGTCAATTACTAATACACTACCGACATCGGGCGAGATCCACGCTGTGATATCCAGTTGGGTGCAGATATCACGGCCGTCTGTTAGTCGTATGCAATCGTTTGTAGTGCTTTCCGTGGTCTTGGAGCTTGTTCTGGGTTCAGGGAGTGTTGTCTTGTTAGGCTCGGTGGCGAGTACCCCATTCCAGCCTCGATTCAAAGAGTTCTCAGATTCGATCTCGATCTCATACATTCATACTCTTACTTCATTTGACTTATCGGGAAGTCGAGGTGTGCGCTAACCCCGAGTTCACCCATATACCGTCACTAACTTTTATACTTGTTGATAAATTGCATTTAATTTGTTTTAAAATATTTAGCATTTTAGAAAAATAAATCATTTCTTATCTCTTTCCTTTAATTACTTGATATGCATCGTTACTAAACATAGTGCCTCTGCGAATTTGACTACGTAATAAATTTAATCATAAGAGTATCTGTATAAAAAATTGACGCAACAAATTTATCATGCCAAAAGTAGAATATAAGATTGTTTTTATAGATAAGAAGAATAATGTATAAGGTAACAAATATTTTTTTAGTTGGGTTTTGGAATAAATTTTTGTTACAAAAGTTTTGTAGATTGAGATAAGTGATAGGGGATCTACAAATACTTACTAACTTATAAAGAAATATGATATGTTAGCTTACCATATTTCTTTATAAGGTAGAATTTTTTTGTAGATCCTCTATCAACTATCTCAATTTCTAAAAGTTTTGTAACAAAAGTATAGTCCAATATCCAACTGATAAATTTGTTACCTTATGCATTAATTTTTTTTTATCTATTACAATGACCATATATTCTGCTTTTGGCACTATAAAAGATCAGTTGATAGAGTACAAAGTAGTTCATAACATCTTTCAACAAAAATCATAGAGAACGTCGTGAATCCATCCAATAAATAATGAAGAATTTCAGTATTTTGTCCCTACTCTCAATTGCTCTTCTATTGAGCTTCTCAACTCCTTCTCTTGGTATGAATTTTTTTCATCTTAGTATTAATCATTTTCATTTGATTCTGCACAAATTTTAGTTCCATTGTCTCCGTATGATCTATAAGTCACGGGTTCGAACCGTGACATCAACCCCTGAGGCTTGTATCATGGTAAGCTGCCTACATTATACATCCTTGGGATGCGGCTCTTCTCCGAACCCAGCATGAACACTAGATACTTTGTGTACCGGACTGTCGTTTTTATTTTATTGCCATGATTTAAAGGCTAATTTATTCGTTTTTTGGTTTGGTCTTATAATTTTAGGGCAACCACCAAAATTATGTCCAACGAGCTTCCCAGTGGACGATAAGTGTGGCAATTTCAGTTGCGCTTTAGAAGCCATAAAAAGATATCCAGCAAGTGAAATGCCCCAAAAATGCAGTTGTAGTTCACAAGGGAGTGGCAGCATATGCTCCTGCTTTATAGTTTGTCAACCTCCAAAATAAATGCAATTATATTAGCAAGTTTATGAGTATAATGTTCTGGGAATTATTTTAATAAACACTGCGGAGTATATTCACCGAAAAATAAAAGAGTTAAGTTTGGAGCATCTGTTATCTAATTACATTGTCCCTCTTGCTTTTTGTTTTTTTGGGCATAATCAACTTTTGTTCAAGGATAACTAAGTAAATTACTCTACTAGTGTTTACCCGTAAAATGATACAGTTGAATTTGTAACGTGGTTTATAGACAAGCGAATCGATTTGATCCAAAAATGATAAATAAATTAAATAAAATGCAAGACTTAACGTTGAAATCGAGAAAAAGCAACAGATAGCTTTGGTTCCGGGAGCAGAGCTTCCGAAGGCAGTAATACAAGTATTAATAGGCAAGAATTAAAGTATTATTGAGCTTTTGAATAGTATATAACAGAGGTTTGTCAGAAAATTCTCCCATTTACCATGGTTGTTGAAATCACTATTTATAGTTGTACCTAGGGAACAAGGTCTTAGGATCAAACCCCTCTTACATGACAATTATGGGGGTCATTGAAGAATGTGTAACGGCAGGCTATGAATGTCATAATTCTCTATAACAGACTGTGTATTTAATATTGAAAAATATTTTTCATTGAATGCTATCGGGTGACAGGCATTCGTTTATCTTCATTAGCAATATTTCATTCGGGGCCTCTTCTGTGCTAAACGAAGCTGCTATCCCCAGTCTTGGTTTTCACCTGTCTCACTTTTCATCTGTTTCCGGTTCTATGTGTTGCTCTATTATGTACGTATGTAATGTGCACCGATTTCACCCTATACAGATAGTCCCTCTGCCTTCCGGTGGCACATGCTTGTGTCATCGTGAAGTTGGTGAAGATACCTTACTTGGCGAAATATTTTCTGACCCTCTCTGAAAGTTTCTGATGCTTGATTAGACGCACGTCTCTACGCATTTAATGCTCCGAACACGCGTCATTCCATAATTTAGCAATACTTTCACCGGTTATTGGGGTAATCATAGCCACTATTTTAGCCGCCTATTTCTTTACTCATACGCCTCATCCTTCTTCTTTTACACTTCACTTTTTTTCAAAGCTCTATCAACTTCTTTGCATCAAACTTTTCCTAGCTTTCTCTCCTCTTTAATCTTCTTCTTTAAAGAACTCTTATTTCCATCTGCTAACCATGACCTCCTCTTCCAAGAACTCAAGTTCTTCAAAAAACAAAGAAAGCACCGATGATGCTGAGATCGCCAAGACCAGTGAGCTGGAGTCAACTGCCCGAAGGGGCTTTCCGGTTCAACCTGATGCAACTGACTCTTCTGGTTCTGGTTTCGAGTTCTCGGGAACTAAGGAAGAACTTAAGGGGATGATGATGAAGGTCAAGATCTTGAGTCGGTGGCAGATCTGCCTACTTCTCCTGGGGGCGCATATACTTCTCTTCCCCAGGGTTCTGGGACGTAGTAGTTTAGTTTTTTGCTTTCTTTCCTTTTTGTTTTTCATTTCATACTTTTGTACTTATGCTGCTTGGCACGTTTGTTATGTAAAAGTGATTTTTTATTTAAGCATTGCGCAAATTTTACTTTTTTGTGTCGAGTTATGCAAGGCTTCGGGTGTATTTTTCCCCTGATAGTATTTGGATTCTGAGCATAAATTCTTCCGGAACAGACCCTTTACTGTGAGGGTTTCATAAGAGAGGGCCATCTTATGTTTACGGTGATCTTGAAGAGGATGCCTCATGTTCATTCCGGCACTAGCATTTGAAGTACTTGATTAAATTTCAAATGATAAAATTAATTCATCGTTTGGACAAGAAACAAGATAAAAATAAAAGGACTTTACTTTATTCCTTCTATTTTCAAAAGTACATAAGCATTTGTTGTGCTAAAAATAAATTGCCATTACTTGTGGCTAATTTGTACAACTTATTTCTACGGGGCTGGCCTTGCAGTCCCCGATCCCGATGATACATCTTTGTTTCTAGATTTTGTAGTCTCGGTTTATGTGGTAGTCATGATGCCGCATTCTCATATCATTCCATCCTGTGTTCGAATGCAAAGAATGCAAATTTGAACATTGGAAGTCTTGTCCGTTTGAAGATCCCACTAGTGAATGGTTGGATAATCTTTGGTCCGATAACAAGCTTCACTTTCCGTTAGAAACTTTGCTATTGAGCCAAAGATTATCTAACCACCCCAGTGACTTACACTTGTGAACGGTCGGGTAACCTTTGGCCCGATAGCAAGCTTTATTTCCCGGTAGGAACTTTGCTATCGAGCAAAAAACTAACTAACCATCCCGTAGTGGTTCATTGCTTCCACGCCTTGTCATTTGAAGGTCTTATTTCTGCTGATAAAATTTTCTTCGTAGTATGCTTTCTGTTGTTGCCTCGTTAAAAACCTTGTCAGAAAAATTCAATTGGGACAAAAACTGGATAAAGAAAATAAGAGTACAGCACATACTTTCAGTATAAGCGGTCCCCATCAGCAATAGTGCCTTTTGAGGTGTGTCACGTTCCAGTTGCTCGCAATTTTAGTCCGTCTTGATTTTCCAACTCATATGAACCTTTCTCGACGACAGCTCAAACCTGGTATGGGCCCTTCCCAAGTTGGACGTAGGTTTCCTGCATTGAGCTCTCCGATGTTTTGAGTTACTTTCCTTAAAATCAAGTCTCTTACTTTGAAATAACAAATATTAGCTCTTTGATTGTAGTATCTTTCCATTCTTTGGTTCTGGGCCACCACCCTTATATGTGCCAAGTCCCTACGTTCATCAAGCACGTCAAATCTGACAACCAGTGCTTTGTTGTTTGCTTCTTCATCCGCCTAGAAGTACTTCAAGGTAGGTTCTCCCACTTCCGCCGGGATTAGGGCCTCTACTCCGTACACGAGAGAGAAAGGTCTCTCTCCCATGATTGACTTGGCTGTCGTTCGGTATGCCCAGAGCACCCCCGGTAACTCTTCGAGCCATTTGCCTTTGGCTGCTTCTAATCTCTTTTTGAGATTTTGAATAATCACTTTGTTTGTTGATTCCATATGGTCGTTTGCTCTCGGGTGGTATGGCGATGATGTGATTCTTTTGATTTTCAAGCCTTCAAGGAATTTCATGACCTGTGCACCTATAAATTGCGGCCCGTTGTCGCAGGCTGTCTCTTTTGGTATCCCGAACCTGTAAATTATGTTCTTCCATAGGAAATCAACCACTTCACGCTTGCCAATATTTTTGGTAAGGACATTCTTTAACCCACTTAGAAAAGTAGTTAGTTAAAATCAAAAGAAATCTTACCTTATCAGGAGCCGGCGGCAGCAGACCGACTATGCCCATCCCCCATTTCATGAATGGCCAGGGCGACAAAACCGAGTGCAATAATTCTGCTGGTTGATGCACCAATGGTGCATGGCGTTGACACTTATTTCATTTATGAACGTATGTCTTAGCGTCTTGTTCCATCCGGGGCCAGTAGTATCCTGCCCTTATTAGCTCTAATACCAAGGAGTCTACACCCGAGTGATTTCCATAGATTTCTTCGTGAACTTCTCTCATGACGTAATTAGCTTTAGAGGCTCCTAAACGTCGGGCCATTGGACCTTGGAAAGACTTTCTATATAATTGGCCTCCCTTGAAGCAATAACGGGATGCTTTAGTGCGCAGTGCCTGGGATGCTTTGGGATCTTCGGGTAGTTTTCCGTGCTCGATATAGTCAATGATCTCATTTCTCCAGTCCCAAACCAAATTAGTTGCGTTTACATCATAATAACCGTCCACATCCAATACCGAATACGTAAGCTGCACGGCCGTAGTGGAGTCTGATCCCTTCATTTCCGTGGATGAGCCCAGATTGACCAGTGCGTCTGTTTCTGCATTTTCCTCCCTCGAGATGTGGTGATTGGCCATTCCTTGAACCGTGCGAGTAGAGTCTGGACTTTCACTACATATTGTTTCATGCATTCCTCTTTGGCGTCGAACATCCCATAGACCTGATTTACTACCAGTTGGGAATCGCATTTGATTTCTATGACCTCAGAGTCCAGTCCCCAGGCCAGCTCGAGTCGTGCAATCAAGGCATCATACTTCGCTTCATTGTTAGTCAAGTGAAGAGTTCTTATGGCCTGCCTCAGGTTTTCTCCCGAAGGCATGATTAGTACTACCCCGAGCCTGGACCCTTTCACATTGGAAGCTCCATCTGCGAACAAGGTCCAGACTCCCGATGTCGATTCCGACACCATCACCGCTTCTTTGGTGGCCAAAGACAACAGTGCAGGACTGAAGTCGGCCACAAAGGAGACCAAAACTTATGACGTGACCGCAGTCCTAAGTTTATACTCTATGTCAAATTCACTCATTTTGACCGTCCATTTGGCCAGTCGACCTGAAAGTTCAGGCTTGTGAAGGATATTCCGCAGCGAAAAGGTTGTCACCACGTCTATCAGGTGGAATTAAAAATAAGGCCTAAGCTTCGAGCGGTGACTACGAGAGCTAAGGCCATGTTTTTGAGGTGTAGGTAGAGTGTTTTCGCTCCCGTTAAAATTTTACTAACATAATAAATAGGAGATTGTGTACCTTCATCTTCACGGACTAAAACGGCACTTACCGCCACCTCTGAGATCGCTAAGTAAATTAGAAACTATTCACCTTCCTCCGGTTTCGATAGTAATAAAGGGCTCGATAAATACCTTTTCAAATCTTTCAGAGCCTGCTGGCATTTCAGAGTCCATTCAAAGTTGTTCTTCTTCTTCAGTAGTGAGAAGAAGTGATGACACTTTTCTGAAGACTAGAAATTGAATCTGCTTAAAGCGGCCAGTCTTCCTATTAACCTTCGAACCTCTTTCACATTTGATAGCTGGCCGGGGATGTCCTCGATGGCTTTAATTTTATCGGGGTTGACTTCAATCCTCCTTTGTGACACCAGGAATCTCAAGAACTTGCCGAAGCTGACTCCGAATGCACACTTTTCGGGGTTAAGCTCCATGTTGTGCTTCCTTAGGATGTCAAATGCTTCTTGAAGATGTTTAAGATGATCACATGCTTTCAAAAACTTGACCAACATATCATCTATGTAAACATCCATTGTTTTCCCTATTTTTTTTTCAAACATTTTGTTTACAAGCCTCTGGTAAGTGGCTCCAGCGTTCTTAAGCCCGAAAGGCATCACATTATAGCAATATGTGCCAAAGTTCGTTATGAACTTAGTTGATTCCTAATCCTCTAGGTTTATTTTGATTTGGTTATACCCGGAATAGGCATCGAGGAAACTCATCAACTCGTGCCCGACCATCGCATCAATCATTTGAAATGATTTTTTTGTGCACGCCTTATTCAGATCCTTATAATCTATGGACATGCAAAATTTATTATTCTTTTTTGGAACTACTACTACATTAGCTAGCCAGTCAGGATACTTTACCTTCGGATTAAACCGATATCAAGAAGTCGAGTTACCTCTTCTTTGACAAATTTGTTTTTGACCTCGGCAATAAGGTGTTTCTTCTGCCTTACCGGAGGGATGTTAAGATCCAGGCTTAACTTGTGCATGGCCACCTCTGGCGGAATACTTGTCATATCCGCATGCGACCATTGAAAATAGTCAACATTAATTTTAAGAAATTCTATAAAACCTAACCTGATCTCGGGGTTTAATCCTATCCCCAAGTGGAAATTCCTCTCAAAGAAATTTTCAAACAATGCGACTTGCTTAAGTTCTTTCGCTGTGGATTTGGTTGTGTCAGTTTCTTCTAGTACCTGATAGGATTCCGATGATTCCTCCCCCTTGTTGACTTCGTTCGGCTCAGGAGGAGGCATCGGTTCCTGTAATTGCTATGCCACATGCTTCTTCCCTTTGCTACTGGAAACTGAGATCGCCTTTATCTCCCATGCCGCCAGTTGATCTCCTCTTATTTGTTTAATTCCCTCTGGTGTTGGGAATTTCAAAAGTTGATGGTATGTTGATGGCACAGCCTTCATCTCGTGTTGCCATGGTCTTCCAAGAATAATATTGTAGCCCATATCATCATCTACTACATCAAAAAGGGTCATCTTCATTACCCCTTCGACATTCATGGGCAGCAGAATTTCCCCTAGGGTTGTCACGCTTGCTAAATTGAACCCAACGAGGAGCTTTGTGGCCGGAATAATGCTTCCTATTACCTTGGCTTGTTCCAGCACTCTCCATTGGATGATATTGTCTAAACTCCATGGGTCCACCAAAACACATTTAATTTTAAAATCTAAAACATTAAGAGAAAGTACCAGGGCATCGTTGTGCGGTAATGTCATGGCCCAGAATTCCCACTCTCAGGACCGTGATGGCGCCTAATATTTTACTTGCAAGGCAAGCCAATGTTAGAATAGTTTTCAGCCATTTTTACAATTCAAATTAAATAATATCGAGAAAACTAAATAAACTGAAATAAAACTGAAATAGAGTGAATAATCCAGAATATCAGCGATATCTAGATACAATCCTAGAACTGGTGTCACAAGTGCACGAGCGACTAGAATAATACAAATAATGTTCTGAATGAAAGTAAAACTGTCTAAAATGAAATAAACAACTAGGATAAGATAGAAGGGGACTTCAGGGTTGCGAACGCCGTTCAGCTGTACCTCAAGTCTCCGAACCAGAAATCAATCCGAGCAATCTTTTAATCGCCGCTAGGACGGACTCCAAAATCTCCACAAGAAGTGCAGAGTGTAGTATGAGTACAACTAACCCCATGTACTCTGTAAGTGTCGAGCCTAATCTCGATGAAGTAGTGACGAGGCTAAGGCAAGTCACTTACAATAACTTGCACGCAGTATAATAATAACGATAGGAAAGTAAGGCAGTTATCATATGAAAATAACTCAATCCTTGAAATCAATAATACCAGAAACACCCTACTCAGAATCTTGTATGAAAGCACCTAAAGCTACCACAATACAACAATGAATACAAAACACACAATTCGTTACGGCGCGCAACCCGATCCCACCGTACTAACTCAATATCCTCCCTTATTTCACCGTTTCAATATCGAGAATAACAAGTAAAATCCGTTGCGGCTCGCAAACCGATCCCACCATATAATCAGAATCAATATCATAATCCTCCATTATTTCACCATATCAAAATCACATATAAAATCTGTTGCGGCATGCAACCCGATCCCACCATATAAGTATCAATCCTTCCTTATTCTACCTGTTGCGGCGTGAAACCTGATCCATAAACAAAATCAATAAATGAATCAACTAAACAACTCAATTCACAAGAATCACTATGATTAAGGAATATGAAAGCAAAGCCATAAAGGAACCTCGTACCAAGTCAAGGAATGCTACAAATAATACAAAGCAACAAAACAAGCCAAATACAAGACAATTTAAGTGTACAAATAAGACAATTAAGGAAAGTAACAATTAATCAAGGAAGCATGGGAGCAACGAACAATTTAATACGAGAATAATAAGTGACAAGTAGCAAGTTAAGGCATAGGAAGCAATTTAAAGCATGCAACAATTAAGACATAGAATAAAATAATTAATGAAATATGGAAAATCATGGAAACAATTACTTTGACGGTGTATATATACTCGTCACCTCGCATATACGCCGCTACATATGTAGTTCACATAACACATAGTTCAAGGGTTCCTAATTCCTACAAATCAAGGATAGATCCAACACTTACCTCGCTCCGCAAGCACATCAAAGCTCAACCAGAGCCTTTCCTCTAAAATTCGCCTCCGAACCAACCAAATCGAACCAAAATCAGCTTAATATCAACAAACAATGTTAGAGAAATCAATTACAATACATAAAGCTAAGATCTTTACACTTTTTCCAAAAAGTCAACAAAAGTCAACCCCAGGCTCGCTTGGTCAAAACCTGAGATTCGGACCACAATCCAATTACCCATTCACCCCCAAGCCGGTTATGTAATTTCTTTCGAATTCTGACCTCAATTCGAGGTCTAAATCACAAATTTACAAAAATCCCTAATTTTACCCAAATCCTTAATTTCTACCATGAAAATCCTAGATTTAATGTTAAAAACACTTGGAAAGTAATAGGTAATTGAAAAGAAATTGATTAAAGTTGCTTACAAATGAATTTAGGAAGAAAACCTCTTGGAAAAATCGCCTGTAGGGTGTTTAGGGTTGAGAGTCTGTGAAAAAAGAACCAAATCCCGTCTTCCTCTCTTTTTGTGCAGGGACAGATGTCGCAAATGCGACCTGGGATTCGCAAATGAGAATCCCGCAAATGCGAAGACACTCCATCTCTGCTTTCCTCGCAATTGCGATGAATTGTTTGCAATTGCGAACACTAGCTAACCGCAAATACGACCATTTGATCGCAAATGCAAACTAGCCCACCCTAGCACGCTTTCGCAAATGCGAAGAAATTGTTTGCAAATGCGAACCTGACAAGGCTCCTCTACTAACACAAATGCGATCCGGATCTCGCAATTGCGAGGTTTGAGGCCTGCGCACAAACCATAAAAAATCCTAGCTCTTCAAACACTCCGCCACACGTCCGAAATTCACCCGAGCCCCTCGGGCTCCAAATCAAATATGCTCACAAGTGTAATAACATCATACGAACTTGCTCGCGCGATGAAAACACCAAAATAACACTTAGAACTACAAATCGGACACCAAAACAAATGGATTTTTCAAAGAAACTCAAGAACATGCAATTTTACAACCGGACATCCAAATCATGTCAAATCAACTCCGTTTTGCACCAAATTTTGCAGACAAGTCATAAATACTAAAATAAACCTATACTAAGTTCCGGAATCGAAATTCGAACCCGGTAGCAATAAAGTCAAACTACGGTCAAACTTAAGAATTCTTTAAACCTTTAAATTTTTAATTTTCAACAAATTACGTTAATCAAGTTAGGGACTTCCGAATTCGATTCCGGCCATATGCCCAAGTCCCAAATCACGATATGGACCGGGACCGTCAAAACTTTGATCCGGGTCCGTTTACCCAAAATGTTGACCGTAGTCAACTCAAATGTGTTTTAAAGTACGATTTCATATTTTTAGCAATTTTCTCATAAACACTTTTCGGAAAATGGACATGTACTGTGCACGCAAATTGAGGAAGGCTAAACAGAGCTATTCGAGGTCTCGGAACACAAAAATAATAGGTAAAACTATAAATGACCTATTAGGTCATCACATTCTCCACCTCTAAAACAACCGTTCATCCTCGAATGGACATTGAAAGGTACCTGGACTGGTGAAGAGGTGTGGATATCTACTTCGCATGTCTGACTCGGATATCTACTTTGCATGTCCGACTCGGACTCCCACTGCACTCAAACTGAAGGATAACTCTTAGACCTCAACTGCCGGACCTGCCGGGCTAGAATAGCCACCGGCACCTCCTCATAAGTCAAATTCTTGTCCAATTGGACTGAGCTGAAATCTAACACATGGGACGGATCACTGTGATACTTCCGGAGCATGGACACATGGAGCACCGGATGGACAACTGATAAACTAGGTGGCAATGCAAGCCTGTAGGCCACCTCACCCACTCTCTCCAGAATCTCAAAGGGTTCGATATACCTAGGGCTCAACTTGCCCTTCTTTCCGAAACTCATCATACCCTTCATGGCTGAAACCCGGAGCAATACCCTATGTCCAACCATGAATGCAACATGACAAACTCTATGATTGGCATAACTCTTCTACCTAGATTGATTGGTACGAAGTCAATGCTGAATAATCTTGACCTTATCCAAAGCATCATGTACCATATCGGTACCCAAAAGTCGAGCCTCTCTGGGCTCGAACCATCCAACTGGCAAACGACACTGCCTCCCATATAATGCCTCATAAGGAACCATTGGAATGCTCGATTGGTAGCTGTTATTGTAGGCAAACTCCACAAGGTGCAAGAACTGATCCCAAGAACCCCCAAAATCCATAATGCAAGTGCGAAACATATCCTCCAATATCTGAATACTGCGCTTGAACTGCCCGTCCGTCTGGGGGTGAAATAATGTACTCAACTCAAACCGCATGCCCAACTCACACTGTATGGCCCTCCAGAAGTGCAAGGTGAACTACGTACCTCGATAAAAAATTATAGACACGGGCAAACCATGAAGACAGACGATCTCGCGGCTGTAGATCTCAACTAAATGCACTAAACTGGAATGAAATGTGCTGACTTGGTCAACCTGTCCACAATGACCCATTGATAAGTGGGGTTTTTGACTACTTATTATCTTCTTTTAGCTTATGTTTTAGTCTAAAAGCAGTGAATTGCATTTTCGAAACTAATGAAATGTGCAAAATTGCAAGAATGTTGGAAGTTGGACTCCTAAGATGAAATCCGATTAAAAGAGGAGTAGTCCGAGCACAAGGCAAAAAAGGGCACAGAAGCATATAAAGTGCGTCTGCAGAAGAAATTACGGTCCGCAGAATTCCATCTGCGGTCACAAATAACAAAGGAAAACTCATCAGACTTTCTAGAAAATTATGGACCGCACATGAATTGTGCAGCCGCAAAAGACGAACTTGAAACCAACTTCAGAGGGTGTGCAAAATTTCCAAGTTTGAGTCCTTCAGAATTGCAGACCGCACAAGAATTGTGCGGTCGCAGACATAAAAGTGCAGACCGTAGAAGACTAGGTTGCGACCATAGTTCTAAATCTGCGGACCGCAAAAATATTGTCTCGCGGCCTCAGTTCAGAATTAAGCAGCCGCAGAATCCCATCTCCTACAAGATGAAGAATTCTGCGGACCGCACATGGAATTGTGCGGCCCCAGAACCTCCTAAGGGCATTTTTGTCTGAA